GAGAACTACGAACACACATTAAATTTATTGTCTCCGAAGGCTCAGGTCAAAAAATCAACACAGATGTTGGCCTACTGGTGTGAAAGCGCTCGCAGACAATACGAATATAGTATTTTTAGGAAATAAAAATATAGAGGGTTTTTATACACGAGAATATTTGATTTAAACGAAACAAAGAAATTCCTAAAATGCTCAAACTAAAAATTGTTGGAAACATAATTAGATCGAAAATTGGGAAAATCTTAAAATTATAACAGAACAAGACTTCAAAAAGACTGCAAATAAACAAACTTACATTAACATAACTTCAAATATTTGCTGTCTTTTTCACCAAACAAACTTACATTAAATTATGAAAAAACTAAATGCTCATCTACTTTTTGCTATATACAAAAGTTGTCTGTCAATGTTTAATTCGTTAAATATAAATAACAAAGATCAAATATATGGATCGGAGTACACAACATATTTAGGGAATAAATATTTAAATGGGAATTACAAATAAAAAATATTAAAAACTTTATTTATTGTATATCTCAATATTCAGTGACAATTTGAGACTTAATTAGGAGAAAAACTGTAAATTTATTAAGATGAGATATTGACAAAAGTTAAATACTTCATTACTTACAATACACTTAGAATATACTAATACTCTTATAGTTGTAAGTAATGAAGTATTATTTATAAATACAAAAAATTCTTTGTTTAAAATTTGTTCTGTTAAAAATTTGTAGTGCCAAAATGTGTATAGAAGCTTGCAGACGAGAAGATTTATTGTTAAAAATGGATATACTTTATAATAGTTATAGGATTTGTGAACTACATTGTGAAGATAATCTTATTGTCAAAAAAAAATAATATAATAAATAATATAATAAAAAATAAATTATATCTTGTATCAACACAGCCAAAAAGAATCGGTGTATTATTGTATTATCAACGTCAACATCAGAATAAACAAAAAAGTATTTTCATCTATGGTTCCTCAATACGATTTTCACCATTACTTTGCGTTGTGCGATGTATTTGCAACCTTTTGTAATCAAAAATAATTACACCATTTAGAATGTCAACAAAAGCCGGCCCTGCATGTAATTATTTTTTCAGTGCAATATTTCATATTTATTGAAAGTCAACATAAATGCTCAATTTTATTTAAGAATTTATATTGTGTAATATGCCCACTGACTATTAAAAAATAAGGTGCTTTCCTGTCATTTTCACTCGTTGGCGGCTTGCCTACGCAAGATCAAAGGAGTGTCGCTTCTCTGCGTTCGTAGTTCTCTGCTTATGATGACGGGTAGACCCAGAAACACGTGTCAGGGAGTGGTAAGAGACTCAAATTAAATCGAAACGCAACATTTTTCGTATCTTTTTCTTTTTCTTGAGTTATAACTTGAGCAATTTATAAACAATATCATACCAAAACCACCTTTCAGTCATCAATTTTCTGTTTTTCTGGCATACTTGTCAACACACAAAAGCAACCTACCATCTTTATTTTTTCACACATAACCAGTAATTTATGTTCATGAACTTAAACTTAAAAAATCTTTTATTTTTACTAGGTACCAAATGTTGTTTTTTGACATAAAGGGCCTTCCATGTTTAAGTTTTAAGTTAAGTACTACATGAACATCACATTACAAACACATTCTTGTCATATTTAAATTTCATCTCAACAGCATATGTTCTCTACATCACTCTTTATTAATAAATCTTATAGAACCCATCTTCCTACATTTGCCTTTTTTACCATTTTCTAGGTACCAAATGTTTCACAACATATAGGCCTTTTGTTAAAATCTTTAGTTTAGAATAAATAAATATAGACAAATGTATAGTTGGTTGCCTATCGATCCTACAAAATTTCATATACTTCAGTTTACCTACATTAATTTTTAAATAACAATTGTTTCAATGTTTTCAACATAGATACAGGATTAATTCACATTACAGACTACAACATTGATGGTTGATACTGTTACATTATTACAATTTTAATTTTATAAAATTAAATAATGCTGGCTTCTGTCATTTTTTAGACAACTACCTTGAGTTACACTGACTGCTCTGACCCAACATCCGTCCTAACATGTCAACAATGTCATTTTTATCAATTGTTATCAACAGGTCCTCGAAGACACTTCGTCTCAGTCAGGACCATAATATATAACCTATGTAGGGTCATACGTCGCCATGTTACCAATTCCAACGGTAACTTAAACATACTAATTTGTAATTATAAATAATGTAAAACAACTATAAATTTGTAACATTTAAAGGGTTTTAACCCATATATTTTGGTGGCTCATAGCATGTATAGTCCGTAAGTATTAAACCACATTTTGCTTTAACCTTAGTCAACATTTTAAATTCAACGTTTTTTTTAAATTAAAGTGGTTATATACTTTCAGGTTAACACTGATGATGGAATTAACATTCCGAAAACGTTCTGTAATGTAATTATGATAGCCCGTTTGGGCATTTTATTATATACCTTAAGGATTTGAAATATTTTTTTTTTTAATCACCACTACTCAAGAGAGATACCATTTGGTGGAAACATTAACAATTTTTTCTTTTTTTATTATAAAAGTTACAAAAACTTCTTCGAAAAAACACATAAAAAACGGAACTGGACTCCACAAAAAGACACATTAAAAATGTGTTTATGCCATGGTTGTAAGAACCCGACCATTTGCTTAAACTCTCGGTCGAATTATTGTGTAGTTACTAATTATAACGTAAAAACGGAAGATCTGACAACAACGCAAATAAGATATGAAGATACTGTTCATACGTTATTTGCGCATATATATTGCAAGAAACATTTATAGTTGCACGACAATTTCTACTAACTTGAAAAGTTGATTAAATTTTTTTGATCATATAGTTTTGACTAAAAACATAATTTCTAAGTTATAAATAACTAACCTGCAATTAGTACATCATAGAATTGAGGTTCAAGTGCTCCAACAGACATGTATCTTCCATCTTTAGTCTTATATACTTCATAAAAGTGAGTTCCACTGTCCAGTACGTTCTGACCTCTTCCCTGGCCCCAGATAGAAGAGTATTTTTCCTCTATAATAACACCAAGTTCCCAAATACGCAGTACCTTCAACCATGGATGTGTCAACAATTTGACCTTTACCGGAAGTGCTTCTTTCTATTAGTGCTAATAGAATACCCAAGGCACATGTGAGGCCTCCACCTAAAATAATTTCCTGTTTTGAAGTATAAATACAGAATATACACCATTTTTGCATAATATTTTTAAATGGAAATATGGCAAGCAATAACTCGTCTGAAGCCTGGTTCAAGTTTTTTTCAATTATACCTAGACGAATATGAATGTAATCCCAAAAAACGTTTCAATATTTATCGTAATAAATATGCTCATTAGTTACAAAATAACTGCATCTTGTTTTCTGAACAATAAAATTCAAATTAATATTATTTGGCTGATTGAACTAAGGTACTGGTTGATGGGTTTTAGTGACGTAATCGTAAAAAAGATTGGCCGGCACCATTTTGAAAGATCATTTTGCATTTGATCAGAAATTTCTGATTGTGTATTGTCGTTGACAAGGCTGTAAAACGAGCATTTCAATAAGGTATCTATTAACTTATTAAACTGTTTGTTCGGGCTGTTAGGCCGTTGTCTTCTGAGATTAGTTCTCGACGTTTCGCGGGTTCGCGGTTTCTTTTTTCATGTTTTGCGGGAAGGATGTTTGTGGATTTTATTGTTGGTATCCATGTTTTGTTAATTTTTAGTCCTTCTTCTATCCGATTAAAATTATTTGGATGCTTATATATTTCCACCGCTTCCCCATAACCGTGGGTAGTATTGTGATATTTTATCCAGCATCTGCGTGTCTTCAAACAGTATCCGATGTTCTCCGCTTCCCAACGCGTGTTCAGCAACGGCAGATTTGTCGATATGTCCTAAACGACAATGGTTTTTATGTTCGTTTATCCTTGTGTTTGTGTCTTTTCGTGGTTCTCACATATACCATTCCACGTGTGCATGGTATTCGTATACACATACACACTCACACACATAAAGGAAAAAAATTGCCAACTTGGAAGATCTTTACATAGTTTTTACATGCACCGTAACGTTTTACAAGACCCCCTCCCTCAATTGCGTAATACTGGAACGACCTCCTCAAGACCTACATATCGAAAAAAGTTTCTACAGCCAATAGGTACTTCAAATCAGCGAAGCTAGGAAAAATTGTAATATCTCAGTGAAAAATTAATCGATTTCGATATTTTTATCTAACAATAATATCTAAGTAATTCATTGAATATATATGTTTGTCTCGTAATTCTGGAATCCCATCGAAGTCTCTTTCGGCGGCATTAGGTTTCTCTTCGAAAGTCAAATTATTCAACAAGTTTCTAGGCCACTCGTGAAATCGAACACCGTTAGAATCGTGGATCAGTAGTAAGGGCTTGGGCGTACCAATAAATTAACATTTTGATATGCTATACTCACAAATGTTTTCTTTATCGACTATTATTAAGTTATTTTAGTAATACTATAAATAATATCGGTTTTTAAATTTAAAACAATCTTTATCAACAAGTAATAATATTGTAATATTGTTTCAAAAATATTGTCATATATAATCTAATATTAGTTTTTATACATCTCTATTTTGTACCTATGTTCAACTATTTGACCTAGCGTAAATCATAACTTTTTTGGAAAGCCACTACTTCGTTAGATTAGACATTACTATTCCAAGAAACTCTCGCCAGTGTATTTAGAACCAGCGATAATAACATTTTAAATCTTGAGATTTTTGAACTGAAGCTCGTGTAAATCTAACATAAATTTCTTAAATATCTCAAGTTTTCTTAAATTATTTGTGTCTAATATCAATATATATATATATATATATATATATATATATATATATATATATATATATATATATATATATATATATAATATATCGAGTATAATACCACAATTTTAATAACTAAGTATGATTACCTCCAATATCGGCAAGTACATTTACAGGAGGAAGAGGATTTTCTCCATATCTACCAAATAAAGACAGTAGACCTGATAAAGCCACGTAGTTTATGTCATGGCCAGCATTTGAACTCTCAAGTTTCCATTTTGGCCATACCCTGAAATTAAAATAATAAAAAAATTATTTCAGAAACTTAACACCCTATGTACGTAGTAATCCGTCCAGGACCTTAAAAACAGTACATTGTTATTATACATACTTAGTTACCCATATGATATTGTGATTTCCACCGTTTATAAATAATAAATCTAATAAAAACAACAATTAGTATGTAAACTCCTTTAATGAATTTCTGCTATAACTGGTTATAAATCTTAACTGTAAATCTTTACTCCCCCTTATTAACTTAATACTTTATTTTACCTTATATATCAGGGATATATAAGATAAAATAAAGGATAATAGGATAAAATCAGGATAATTTGGAAAATTAGTAGAAAATTTACCAAAATTTTTTAACCCTGATGAAAATGTTACCGTCGACGAGCAATTAGTTGTCTTTAGAGGCACCCTTCAAACAGTACATTCAAAGCAAACCAGTGAAATATGGCATAAAAATTTGGGACAGTAAAAGTTCGTAAGTTCTAAAATTGCAGATTTATACAGGAAAGAAAGCAGGTGCCGCGTCGGAACGCAATCTGGGAATGCGTGTGGTGTTCGACTTGTGTAGTGATTTGAAAGGCCAGAACATTACTTGTAATAACTTTTTTACATCATAAAATTTAGGACAACTTCTTCCAAAAAGAAAAAATACAATGCTGAGGAACTATAAGAAAAAATAAGCCAGAGCTTCCAGCACAAATTGCAAATAAAGAAGTTTATAGTTCGTCTTTTTTACTTCATCACTGTTGTTAATTAACTATACTTCATCTAATTTACTTACCGTTGCACGTCATCGGCGTCATAGCCCGTGAGGTCACATGATACCAACACGAAATATTTAGGCGGTAGGTGTGTTCTTTTTTAAAATCACTTTGCCGAGTACACTGGCATTACAGCCACTAGACATATTTTATTATATACGCGTAGAAATAATATTTAAAGATTTCTATTAATGTTAACTTACAGAAATACACAATCATATGTTTCATTTAATTTGTATAAATGCATTATAAAGCGTTTTTATGAAGAACATTTGTTCGGAATACACTGTAACTGTAATCGAACGAAGGTGATATTTTGCCATAAATTGATAACACATATTTGAGAGTTGCGGTGTTGACACGGTATTGAAAAAAAATGTTTTTGTTTAAGTATTCAATTTTACATCTTTATACGACGCATACAACCGGATCAAATTGTTTTTAACAAGATTATTTTTTAACTCTTATTTTGTTTCTATTTATTTACATTAAATATTAATTTGTTTTGTTCTATAATCCACTTTTGCAATAATTATGTGACCTATTTGATTTAAAATGAATTTAGGATTTTTTTATACTTTGGCAACTATGTCAACTTCGATCTCTGTCAATGATAATGACGTGCAACAGTAAGTAGATTAGATGGAGTGTACCTAAAATGAATAAAAATTTTATTCTTATTTGTACTTTGCATCATGATAAGGCTATTAGTGACAGAAATAACACAAAGCCCCAAATTATTTTAGATTACAATTCCAGTAAGGGAGCAGTGGACACTCTAGATCAGCTTGTTAACGATAATAAGACTAATATTTTATGTTGTATATGTCACAAACATATTTGTAAAACCCATTATTTTTATTACTGTCTCAGTTGTAAACTAAATTAAATTTTGTAGGTATTTATTCTTAGGCATTTTTGGGAAAGAAAAAAGTGCTTTTTATTTTTGTTCATCATCATCATTGGTGCTATAGCCCTATAAAAGAGCCTCAACCTTCCCAAGTCTATTGCGCCAGTCAGTTCTATCCATTGCCAACTGTTGCCAGTTTGCTTCGCCTATTTTATACCATACTCATCTACACAATCCCTCCATCTGATTTTTGGCCTACCCCTACTTCTACTTCCCACAGGTTGTGACATAAGGATTCTTCTAGGAGGGTTGTTGTGCTGTGATCTTGCCAGATGTCCTGCCCATCTTAGTCTTCCTATTTTTATAAGAGATACTAGGTCCATACCACCAAATATATGTTTATAACTGTGATATATCTAGTAGTAGGAGGTATATCAGGATTTCATCTTAGTCTTCCTATTTTTATAAGAGATACTACGTCCATACCACCAAATATATGTTTATAACTGTGGTATATCTTGTAGTAGGAGGTATATCAGGATTTCATCTGCCTTGGAAATGATCGATGTTTCCGATCCATATGTCAACACTGGTTGTATAAGGGTTTTGTATATGGCTATTTTTGTTTTTTTGGCTTAAGTTTCTGCTTCTCATATGTCTACTCAATCCAAAATAGTATTTGTTTGCTAGGATTATTCTTCGCTTGATTTCTTCCGTCATGATGTTCTCCTTGGTGATCAGGAAGCCTAAGTATGTGAATTTGTCTACCACTTCGAAGGTAGAGTTATGAACCGTAAATTGGTGGCCAATGTTTCTGGCTCTATTGTTGGGTGTTGATGCCATTATCTTAGTTTTTTCCTCATTTACTTGCAGGCCCATATTTTTTGAGGCATTGACAAGGTGGTATACATTTCTTCTAGCTTGTGTGTTGTGCGGGCAAGTAGATCAACATCATCTGCATATGCCAAAATTTGGGATGATTTATTAAAAATGTTTCCTCTGTTGTTTATTTGAGCATCCCTGACCACCGCCTTTTCCAGAGCTATGTTGAAAAGGTGACACGCCAGCGCATCTCCCTGTCGCAGCTCAACGTGTGTTTCAAATGCCTGTGAACTTTAAGCATTGTAGCCTTAACCAATCTTATCAGTTTATCGGGGATGTGGAATTCATCCATGGCTTCATACAATTTATTTCTTAGAATGACTTAGAACACTATCATAGGCCGATACACCTTAGAACACTATCATATTTTTATTTTTGTTAATAAGTTTAATTTACATTAGCAACATAATTTTTGTTTAATTAACTATAATTTTTTGTTAATAAAGTTTTGTTTAGCACTATTAGCTTATTTTAATTCTATTAAGGACCGTAAACGTAGTTGAGTCATATTGACCTGAACAGTACATTTGCATAGTTCACTCGAACAGTACAGGAGGGTTAGAAAGAGAGAGAGAGAGAAAGAGACCTCATCAGCTGGTACAACAAAAATAAATGTAAGCGTATTATTTAATATGACGCTAATTCCAAAGTAATGTCCAAAATGTTTGGGACAGCACAGATAAAACAAACGAAGTGAATACCTATTACAATGTTTGTCTTCTTGTAAGATATACATTATTTCCAAAGGTAACAAATCACTGCAATCTACGAACTAAACTATGAATCCGACATTACTGAAAACTACTATCTGTAGTGAGTTATCATATCAAGACAGAGTCAAACTAGTTTTTTGCGTTACTAAAATAGTTGGAGTAATTATTGTTTTTCTTCTAATGGTCGTTTTGAATATTTTATATCTAATTTATTAAGAAATTAATATATTTAATGTTTTTAGGATTCATTTTTTTTATTTCCAAGGTTTATGAAGTTTTGAAATATCCCTACTAGATGTCCCCCTAATTGCTTTGGTACAAATATAATTCAGAACTGGCACATGCTTGACATGGGCTCAATCATCATCATCATCATCACTGGCTCGACAACCCCTTTTGAGTCTTGGCCTGTTCAAGGATTCTTCTCCATTCTGACCTGTTTCGTGCTTTTTTTTTCCAGTTTTTAATTTTTAATGTTGTTAAACATTATGTTGTTAAACATAACATGGGCTCAATATCATATTAAAAAATCATGCATTTAAAGGTTGAGGGGAAGCGTCAGCAAGGACAGTCCTGTCATATATCGAAACAGATTGACTAATGTTCATATAAGAAAAAAATATGATCAGATGACAGTGTTAGTTATACGATTGAAACTGCTGGTTGAACCACACAATAAACTGAGGAAGCTTGTCTCATCAAAAATACAACCATCAATAGAGATGTGCCTTGACGCAACAAAGAATTAGGAAAATAAAAGGCTAGTGCACGCAGAGGCCTTAAACAAAGCCAAAAGTTCATGTAATTGAGAAGATTATGAAAAAATAAATATAATACCAAATAGGTACTTGCCATGTCGGGATAGTATCATTAGGTTTTTCTCCTGTTTTTTTTTTCTCATGATTTACTATGGAATCATTGCATGCAGTTGTCTTTTTAAAGACAAATCACATGCTATGAATGAGTCAGATACAATTAAATTATTAGAAGATTTGTTTTGCCAAGTAGTAAAATCAAAATTTGTTTAATCTATTGTATTTTGAGAATGAATTCCAAAGTGGAAATTGAAACATCAAAATAAACAAATTTTAAAGTAAATTGTGACATTCCCAATATAAGTAGTAAATTAGATCTACTACACATACAAAAGAAGTGAATACCTGTCAAGTATACTGCTTGTCAAAGAACAATTTTCTTATCACTAAAGCAAAATCTACTATAAATACCTTGCATTGCCTTGTTACAGATCTCAAAAAGAAGAAGAATTATATGAAGTGGCATAAGAGTGCCTTCCTAAGTGTGCAAAAGAGGTTTTTTAAATTAGTGTTATATTGCCTGCTTTATAGAAGTCAAAAACATTTTGTCCAATATTTTCTTCAAAGATATCTTCTCAAATTTGACTCTAGATTGGATGACAAGTAGAAACCTCTTTTACTTCTACTTGAAAATCACTCTAGATTGCCACTTGGATCGCAACAAATTTTAAAATTTTCACAAAATCTGTTTTTATTAGTTATGTGGACAAAAAAATCCATACTCATATAGCAATGAAAAATTATTACCTGTGAGTCTAGCATATATCAACCTGGGATTCTCCTTCATTAATACCTTTGGTCCTAAACCTAGCTTTTCCATAATTCCTTTTCTGAAAGGTTCAATTAATACATCGGATTCTCTTGATAGGGATTTAATTATATTGATAGCATTGGAATGTTTTAAATTAAGACTTATTGATTTTTTTCCATTTCCTAAACAATCCAGATCTGTATTATATCCAATCTAAAAATAA